TTATTTGATCTTCTTGAAATTAGTTACTATCTGTCCATTGGTGTCCTTTAGCATATCAATTCAAAGTTGGAATTTCTTTGCAAGTTCAGAGATCTTTTGGAAAACTTTCCTTGTTTTTTCCTGCCTGTTTCCATCTTCAATGTCTTTGCAGATGTTGTTGTAATACCAGTTCTTGTCTCTTCTAACAGCTCTCTGAAACTCTTTGTTAAGTTTCTTCCTGAGGTTTTTGTCTTGCCTGGCTTTGGCTTCTCTTCCCATCAATTTCCACAGTTTGTTCTGACATCCAACAGTGTTTCTTCTGTTTCTTCACCTTTGGCAGTCTCTTCAAATTCATCCTTAATGACTTCTTTAAATTCATTCCACAGTTCCTCTGGTTCTCTATCAATGAAGTTCAGGACTTCAAAGCAATTCCTGATGTTCTCCTTGAAAATGGTGGGTATATGGGATGACCTTCACACCTTGAGTGACCCTGCTGGGGATATATACTTTTGGCATACACTTCTGGGTTTTTCACTCATCCCTCCCAGAACCCCCCCCCCCCCTGCAACCCCCCCCCCCCATGATGTGGCAGCACACCAAGACCTGGAGGAAGGGGTAAATATGCATACTTAATTTTATTTGCAGTACATGTGTCTATTAGAAGCCATGATGATGCCAAAATGATACAGTGTTAAAATGAAGCAATTTGCATCATGACACATCACTTACCCCATCTCCTTACTCCCCAGAAGACACATGATTTCATGCTTGTTTACTAAGGAGAAAATTGGACTCCAATGGAAAGAGAACATCTTGTTTCTCATGATCGGGTTCCAGGTTCAGTGTGTGGCATTTCCAGCTAATAGAAAACAGGCAGGTGTTGGGAAAGAAACACTCACGGGAAAACCACTGCTAATTAAATAAAAATGAGCTGGATGGATAACAGCCATTCCTGACACCTTCCTAAAATTGTAATTTGAGAGTTGGTTCCAGATTTAGAGATACTGAGTTAAAAGACTATCCAACTCTGTCTTGCCACCACCCAATATCATCATAAACTGGCCATCTACACTACCCATCCCTATTCTGCCTCTATTGTGATTCTTTACTGAATCCTGTTGTCCTGATTTATGTGTGTGCCAGTTGTTATAGGCAACATGATTGGTTTTCTCCTCTGGTTTTGTTGCCATTTTCCTAAGCAAGTCACTGGTAATGGGAAAATGCCCACCAATTGGATTATTGTAGCCTGAGTTACCCAATTCTATAATTTTTAAAATCTTCTTGGCTGGTTTGTCTGCTCCTTCTGCCATACCCATTTGCGCTTCTCATAAATTCCAAAGAATGTGAATTAAAGAAACATAAGAAATATGCCTCCCAACTACCTAAAGTAAAAAGTATAATTAGAGACCCCAGAGCAGAAATAGTCCCACTGAGGGGGTACACAAATCTGCCATGAGTGTGTATCTATTTATGTCCTTTAGAACCATAGAACTGATACTGACTAGCTGCTGAGCAATCATGTCTCTCACTTCAGGAGGAGGGGGAGTAACTGTAACTGATAAATAAAGGGAAACTAGCAAATCAACAAAAGCCCAGTTTGATATTCCTCATTATTTTCAGGACACTGCAGTAAGGGAAAGCAAGGCGGCTACATCTAAAGCTAAAGACTCTCCACTGATGCCATTCAGAGTTCTTCCCCAAATATAACAGTGGAGTTCTGTTCTTCTTGCCTCTACTGGTTGAAACCTGGAGAGAAATTGATTTCAGAAGGATGGAGGACGACGAGGTGATAGGTAAAGAAACTCAGGAAGCCAATCACTTTTGGAGGGGGCAGATGCTGGGAGAGAAATGATTGTGGTGAAGCTTGACCAGTGACCAGAGGAGATGACACAGGGCCATACTTCCCAACATTTCCAAAATATAACTCTGGTCATCCCCACGACAGATCACCCTATTAAGCCTCCAAGATAATGGGTAGCAAAATATAATAAACTTTACATACCTTGAAGCTGTGGTGGGACAACAATAGCTTAAGGGGTAGCAGTCTACTTTTATTCTAGTACATTCAGTGATCACACAAGGATGTTTTAATTTATAGACTGGAGATAAGGCAACCTCATTAAGAGGGAAGACTGAAAATATCAGGGAATAATATTGGGATTATGAATTAAAGTAGAGATAGGGTCTTTGAGTAAATCCTCTGAAGATAAGCTTTAAGATAAACACAACTTACTTAAATATGGATTTGGAACAAATGTTCCAAATATTTCCAGTTTCTGAAATAGGTCTGTTCCAAATATAAATCATGTTTCTTCCTTTCACCCAAGTTAAAAGGAAAGAACTATACCAGCATAAAATGTGCTGTCCCCACTGGCAATTTCTATCCTCCCACTTGCACGATACCAACAAATGGTGCTTTCCTTATTTATGGTGTGCAGGACTAATTAAAGATAGGCATTTCTGGATTCCTCTGGCTTTATTTCTCTCCCCTTCTATTAAATATCAGTTGGCATGAAAACATGAAAACATCCATCAAATCCCACCCACCAAATCCCAACTCCATCTCTGGGTTGGGCCTGGGACTTGGCCATCTGCCAAAAATCGTTCTGTTTTTGCACAAATATTTTGTGCAGGTACATTCACAGATAACTTATCAGCTGATGTTCTAGAACAATATTATTTTGGAAGTTCTAGAGCCATTTCCAAAAGCAGCCTGAACAACAGCTGGTAGATATGAGAAGCACTGTGAAGTAGCAGAGAGAAAGAGAGAAGGCTCTGTGTGTCTCTCTCCTGCTTCACTGTGCAGCCCCTTCTACCCCTACCAGTATGCCTGGTCCACTGGCAAACATGATGGAAATAACCAATTTGAAGGAACTGAATTTTCCCACTGGAACACCGTTTCTCAAGGACTGCAGAGGAGGAGGAATGCCCACACCAATCCCAAGCGATCAATAAGTGCTGGACTGATCCCACCCATATGAGGTCATCTAATGATGACCCTGACCAAATGGTTGCTGAAGTGTGTCAGACTCCACGACCTGTGAAACTGAAAAAACCTGTTGCTTAAAGGGGAAGCAACAGGTTAATATCAGAAAGGCTAATAATGAAGTGAAGCTGTCTCAGGTTTGGATTGTGGATGAGACGAAGGAAACATCATGAGACAAAACAAAACAAAATGGTTGTAAGGGCATATCATGCGAGACACAGTGCACGTGTGGAAAGTGTAGCTTCGAGGATGTTTCTAAGTGCACCCAGTATTGCAGGCGATGACTTCACATGCATATGAACCCATGCAGAAAGGCAAAGTATGGAAGGGATTATTCGTTTAGAACACAGCCCACTTAGTGCCAATTTCAGAGTAATCCCCATGGAAACTGGGAAGACTGCAAGACAGGCACAAAAGGTTCACGAAACTAAAACGACAGCATCAGCTTGCCAGGGTCCCCTCTCGGGCTTCAGTTTAAAGTCAGGTTCCTTTTTGCTCCGGAACCTGACTACACAGCTTCCTTTCTGGAAAACGTGAAACCATCAGATTCAGCCTGAAGTTGTAAATCCCGTCTCCC